TACACAAAAACCCTCAGGATTTATAATAATTTAAACCATCGAAAGGCACATTCTACAAGCCTGCCTCCTCGCTGCCAGCATCCAGTTCCTCTCTTTCCATGAGTCCAGAGTCCTCATCTCTGCCTTCATCTCTGGTATTGCTGCTTCTCTGAATAGGGTCCTGCATTCTGCTTGTGCTCTTTTCCTTTGATGGTCCTAGGGTCCCATTTCTGGACTGTATGATAAGCTACTCCCCCATTTTTGTTACAAAACTTCTACCTTTACAGTTGTAACAGCTGATAAATCATTTTAAAGAAATAAGTATTAATTATTTCACAAGTCTAGACAAGGACTTATCCTGAGAAAAGCTCTCTGAAGAAGGTGGCATTGGACTGGTAGGATAATAGCAGATAGAGAACCAGTGAAGCACCCTGGAAGAAGGAAATGACGGATGCTAGATATAGTAAAGAAAACGCACAGTGACTATTTTCTGGGGAAAGTGGAGGCTTCATCCTTCATGTCTGGAAAGGAACTCACTCTTCTGGCCCAATTTTCAGCCAAGCAATAAGTAAGTTTATGCTTCCCCACCCCCACCCCAACAACACTAGAAAAGTACACTTACCATCTAATAGTCAATCATTCAAGATCAAAAGGGCAACATTTCCTTAAGGACAAAATTGAGAGGGATAGGAAGGTGGGTGGAATGCAAACAGGAACCATAGGAGGCAGCAGGGAAACTGTTGTTGCATGGAAAAGACTGTAAACATGGAGATACTAACAAAGCGTATGATCTGTTGACTGTAAAGCTGATGATCTTGTCTGTAAACCTTCCCTCAATTCACAATAAAAAGTAAAAAAAAAACAGGAGGCTTGATTAACTGCAACCCAGGATAATGTTGATTAGCATTAATGTTGGAAAGGTTTCAAGGATATGATGGATTGTTACAGATCTCAAATGCCATGCTTGCATTTTTATTTTCTTTTATTTTTTTTTTTTCAGTAAGCAATGTTGAGGTTCTTGGCAGCTGGGATCCCCAACAGAGCACTGTTTTGACAGAGTTATTTTTGTGGCATGGTGGAAAGAGAATGGAGGCAGGGAGATAAGATAGGAGGTTAAAGAATTTGTCCAGGTGAAAGATAATAAATGCCTAATCAGATTAGTAGCAAGAGGAGATTTTAAAACAGGGGCACATTGTCATGCTTTATAAATCCATAAATATTTCATTGACCTTTCTGCCAAATTTGTTGTGTTGTGGTAGCAGAATGCTACTACGATGCTGGAAGCTATTCCACTGGTCTTTCACACACTAGCAGAGACATTCATGGTGGACAGATTTTAGCAGAGCTTCCATATGAAGACAGACTAGGAAGAAAAGCCTAGAGATCTACTTCTCAAAACTGACCAATGAGAACCCTATGAATCACAACAGACAGAGTACCAAATATGGTGCTGGAAGATGAGCCCTTAGGTTGGAAGGCACTCAAAATACTCTGTGGCCACAGCAATGGATTTAAGAAGACGAACAATTGTGAAGATGGTACAAGAATGGGCAATATTCTTTTCTGTTGGACATGAGTATAATCTGACTTGATGGCAATTAATAACAACAAAATACATCACAGGTACAAGAGGATCAGGAAAAAAAAAGGAATACTAAACTGTTCAAGCCAATGGGAAAAACCTAACGAGATAATAAGAAAGTTTCCAGTGTAACCATTCAGAAAACTGGTATTGTGTACACTGAAGTGTGTCAGTCCAAGAACTAAATGGAACTCCTGCTGGCCACCCATATGTTTCAGCAGCTGCTGCTCTCTCATACCTCTTGTTTCATCTCGAGAGCCATGCTGGCATTCTGGGCTTTGTGCCATCACACCATGAGCACTGGGGTTATGCCTTTTGGAGTTTGTCTCTGAGGGCATGAAGGAAGAGAGAGGTTTGAGGAGAGGAAGGGTCCACCTGTCTACAGCAGTCAGGGAAGTGTCCACTATATTTTACCCTGTGCTACACACTGGAGTTATCCCTCTGCTTGTTTTGCAAATGTTGCCAAGTCATTACAGTAAATACGGGAAAAACCTCTTAAAAGGGCACCTTATTTTAAATAATTATTATTTTGGCTTTTAGAAGTGAAATGAATTTAAGAAGCATTTATTGGGCATTTGTGGAACAAATACCACTAGACACAAGCATACAGATAAGATGGTATTTAACCTCAAGCAAGTACAAGTACAGGTGAGAAAATTCACACATGTATGTTTAGTGGGTTATTCTTTCTCTAGTTCATCTCTAAATGTTGATGTTATCCTGCGCTTCCCCATAATGAGCTCTTCTGGTCTGGTCCTACCTCTGTGGTTATCACTCACACTTTTATATCCATTGCTTTGACTGGGACACCAAGCTCCAGACCCATTATCTTAGTTTTCACTTGTCTTCCCAAACATTATCATCCCCAAGTACTTTCTGATATCAGTACACGGCATCACTACATGTTTAGATGTTCAAGATTTAAACTTATTAGTCATTCTTGCTTCCACTTTAAGCTCTAGTTTTTCTGGTGTAGTCCACCAGGAAGTCCTGCTTGCTTTATTTGTTAAATATGACTTTCTTTGGCTTCTTGGTCAACTTTTTTCTAGTCTTTAATTTGTTGTAGGACTTTGGGAAAAGCATTCTGTTGGACATGCGTATAATCTGACTTGGTGGCAATTAATAACAACAAAATACATCACAGGTACAAGAGGATCATAGACATTTAATCTTGTATGAAAAATGTTCTTTGCTGAAAGGAAATATGGAAATAACAAAGAAAGAGTATTAGGAAAGGGCTCGCGTCACATTATTTTCCAGATGTGTTTAGAGAAGATTGTGAAATGGGAGAAGACAGATTGAAGTTAGCTTTCAAGTTTCTTGCATGGTGGATCAAAGAGACTGGACTTCATTATATATAAATGAATATAAGTGTAATAATAATAAAATTGTGGTTCCTGACTATATTCTGGCTATTGAATGAAGCGTTTAACCTACTACTTCATATAATACTCATGACAAATATAGAGGGAAAGGATTCACAGAAAGATAAGGTAGATTGTTCAAATTAACATGGTAGATAATGGAGCCCAGATTCAAACTCAGGCAGCCTGAGACTGCAGCCCAAACTCTTATCCTCTGGGTTGTCTCGTCTTTACATATTAGAAAGTTAACTCTGGTTGTGTTGTGGAAGAAGAGTTATTAGAGAAGAAGAGATTGAGGGCAAGAAATCAGTTAGGCTGTTACAAAGGGCTAGGTGAGAGAATGCAGCCCTAAACAGGATAGTGACTATGGGGATAAAAAAGAGGTGACAAATCTGTTGAAACAATTAGTCCTGCTTCTTACTGCTTTAAACATTATTCTCTTCCATTATAAAAAATG